TGTGCACTGAGGAAGCCACACCTAAGACAAAACCGGAAGCTCATTTAGAGAATACAGCAGTGCCACACAATAGCACTGGCACAGGAGGAGTAAATGATGTCATTCATTTAAATTTCTGCTACCACAGGGAAACTCTGGGTATTCAGAAACTACATCTGACCAGAGCACCAAAATTAACAGCTGTGAAAAATGCATATTTTATGACTGGCTTTTCACAAATATTTACATGAATATTATATGTGCTATGTTAGAAAGTTATGCTGTGTTAATTCTCTTAAATTGCATGTTAAATATAGTTTAGGTTATTACATAATGTTAAAATAGAAACTATGCTATGTAAGATACTTTTTTTAAAGAAGGACTCGCAGCGAGATAGCAGCCACAGGACACCTAAATCTTTCAGAGAAAAATAATTTATTACACTCTTATCAGAAGAAATGAACTTCTTCCTGCCTTGCTCAGCCATGAAGATGCCATTAGGATTCAGAGGAAGAAGCTGACACTGACCAGACAGAATCCTGCATTTGAAAGGAATTTATGCGTCATGTATGAGGTGTATGAATATGCAACAGGTTATTGTTTTTAAGGGTTAATACTCTGTTAACTTGTGTCCTTTTTCAGGCTTTTGCCCAGAAAGAGGTACCCAGACTGTCCATAACTCTTTGTTTGTATTGTCTCATATTGTCCTAATCCAAATTGTCCAAATTTTTATTACTGTGATTATATAACTATTTTTAAAGCCATGTTATTACTATTAAACTTTTAAAATTTTAAAAACAACTTTTTGGCGTTTTTTGCAACAGCAATGAAAAACACCCCCAAGGGAATCAATTATATTTATATATATAATCCAAAAGAATTGGATTTTATATATATAATTATTACAATCCAACACAGTCTTCATATCACTTCAGGAAAAAAAAATCACAAATTCTGTTTGAATTATTATTAAAGCCTTTGAACCTAACAACAAAAATGCATGCTCATAAAAGGCATACACATAAGGATGTCTTTTCACTTTCCCCACACTACATATCCCATTCAAACACTGAGAAACACTTATGCCCCAATCCCTTACATGACTGATTTAATTCATTAGTCTTTCAGCACCAACTTAACAGCTCTAGAGACAGCAACTATGCCAGGACTGCAGTTGTTAAGGAGATTCTGCAAAGGAAAACTTGAAATTTTCATAAGTTTTTAAATATGCCTTTGAAGAATCTGTTCTTCAAAAGGTCTAGTTCTTCCAAGTCACAGACTAATCTGTAAAGCATCAAACTGAATTACAGAAATTGCAAAATAAAAGTGATGACTGCAAGCCGACAAAGAGGTGGGGGCTACCACCCTGGGGAAGCAGTTCTGGCTCTTCCCTGTGTCTGCCTGGCTCTCCAGGTCAGAAGATCATTCCCAAAGAGCAGCAGAGCTCAGTCCCTGCCTGCTGGAGTCACAGAACTTCAGAGTAAAAAGGCATCTCTTGAAAATGTTCTGGTACAAAAAGAGATATGAGCACAGTGTTCTATGTCTGAAGTGGAGAATAAGGGAAAAGGGAATAGTGGGGGATAATGCCTTATCCTTTCCTGGACACACAGACACACTTCAACATACACCAACAGGTTCCACAAACTGTGTCAGGTGACCTTTCTTAGGGTCCAACAATATGCAGTTATTTAGATCTCCACTCCATAAGGCAGCAAAAGATTCCACCTAAAGATAAAGCAATAACATTTTTCACTGCATTTGGGAATATTTTCCATTTTCTCAGATGTTTATTTTGACTTCTCTGTTTCACTATTGCAGTGTTTACTAGTAAGTTCCAAGATATCTTCTTTGAGCTCAACTTCTTGATACACGAACCTGTTAAAACAAACATTTTCTGCTGCTACCTCAGTGACATGGCAGACACAAATTTGAAATTAAAAAATAAACCAGGGTATCTAGCAGAGTCAAAACAGCTTTACAACAGATTTGCAAACAGCTTTAGCAGAAAGAAAAGTACAAAGAGTTATGTGTAATTCCAAAAAGTTTTGATTAAATTTGGAATCTAGTACATGAATTGTGCTCTAGAAATTGTTTTTAGGGCGTAGAATTCACCTTAAGTTGAGGAAAGGCCAAGGATACATTCTTTAAATGTAATGAAACACAGAGAATTGAGGCACACTTACAAACCAATGGCACAGGACTTTTTAAAGAATAGGCAGGTAGAATTAAAATTATCATAGAAAGGATATCATTGACTGTGAGCTCCAGATCCATAGGTTTCCACCTAAATAATCCTGCTTAGGCCCTGAATTCTGCAATTTCTTGAATACAAACTACCACAGGGGTCAGCAGGACCTGACACTAACCCAAAGTACTACCACAGACCTATATATGACTGCTTAGATTTTATACCAAGGTAATTTCCTTCCATAAGGAAAACAGTATGAAAACAATGGTACCTTCTTACTCTAGCCACACATTCCTCTTTTTTGTTTCATAAATACTTAAATACTTTAGGACCCAAAAATACAACTTTTTTTTTACTAAAACTCTGACAAACGGATGCACTCCTTTCCCACATAGTGGGACTATATTCCCCTTTAGGCATCACCAAATAAAATTATTTGGTGCATTTCAGTGACAAAACACCAACCATGGTGTAACAGGGGGATTCAAGACTCAGTTTACAGTGCTTATGTTGAAAATTATGCTTTTGATTTGTAAATGGAGCTAAGTGAGTATAGGGACTATTCAGACAGAAAACCTATGGAAAGGCCATTTCACCAAGGCATTTTTCTGACTGCAATTTCTAGGCACAAATGTGCATAAAATTGCTTTCTTCCAAAATGGGAAAATGGGTCTCTTGGATTGTTGCTCATAAAGAGAAAAGGGGAGCAGAAATAACTACATTTTTGTTCTGCTTAAAAATTAATGTAGCATGGAATTTAAATCCAAACTTGAGGCCTTTCAAAAATGGGCAGTACTAACTGCCATAAGCATTAAATAAATAAAAAAAAAATCACACAGAACCCCAGGGCATTTTCATCTAGAGGTTATTACACAACTGGATTTAACAATGAATTCCATTTGACTTTGAGTTAACTGTCTGAGCTGCAAGTATTGAGAGCTACCTTCCAAATTCTTCTTTGCATATATTGCGTATTTTAAAATACAGGAAAAAATGGTGATTTATTTCAGAGTCCTGATACTGTGGTTCCCGCACAGCTGTCTAAGAACAGCCCTGATTACTCAGTGCCAGCTCTCCTTGTTTCCAGCTGCTAAATCCCATTAGAAGCAGCTAAAAATGCATTAAGCGCTTTCCTAACATTCCTTTTCCGTATAATCAATTTTTGTAGTTGTCATATGGCTAAGAGACAGAAAAGCTGGATCAGCAATAAAATTAACTGCCTTCAGAGATGTGTTCAGCAAAGTTAGAACACACGCAACCTTTGATTTCTGGGGTAATCAGGCACCTAATACCCTTAAGGATTTTTTTCTTAAATTCTCGAGCACAGCCCTGGCTGTGCTCTGATTAATTGTGAAGTTTCAAGACCGATTAATTTCCCAGTCTCACAATCCTGCTCTCAAGCATACAACCAGCTAAGGGTAGATGAAAAATTCTGAGTGTCTGCAATTTCTGTTGGAACACTCCTGCTTTGAAAGTGGGATAAAAGTCAGGCAATTGCTGGATTACAGTCCTCTGTCAGTCCATTACAGAGAATTGCAGAGGAAAAGCATCATTTCCAAACAAAAACAAAGCACTGGTTGCTTCTGAAGTGAAAAGGAGCCATGGAGCCCACTAGTATGAAGCTACAGGACTCGCTGGAGCTGTAGTACAAGGGCTTTGCAGAGAGGCAGTGACAAAGTGATTGATTTGATTTGAAAATCTGGAACATCTGAAAATCACATGTTGATTTGAAAAATCTGGAACCAACAATGACAGGATGAATTAAGACAGTAGCTGGAAAACACAAAAAATGCAGGAGAAGCCAGGGCCAGCAGGTGTAAGTCAGGCCACAGAGACTGTCATATGCACAACATCAACAGCTGTACCAAGGGCTGTTTTTTACATTTTAAGTGAGACTACATATAGCTATGAGAGCCATTCATTGGCATTAACAGCACACACTCATATTTGGAAATTACGGATTTTTGCTGAGGAATATGGACTTCAGCATCTTGATAATAGTTCCAATCAGAGGATAAGAATCAAACTCTTTTAGATAAAAGTATTGCACCAAGATCCTGTTTACTTCCAGTTTTGCTTCTCCAGAAACGTTAGTCAGGCTTGGCATGCTTCAGATGTGGGGATCAGATTACAGGAATTCCTTAATTAACTTCACACAACCCCTGACACAGGAGCTGAGGCCTCTGCACACGGAAGATGACGTGGAGAGTCAGTAATGGCAATACAAGACACACATCCCCCTTGCACTTCCAGTCCTGTGCCAGAGAGAGACAGGAGGTGCTTATAGGTGTGAAAAATGCCAATCACTTGTTTTTAAAATGTTAAAAGTTTAATAGTAATAAAATGGTTACAAAAATAGTAATACAATTAGAGTAACAATAATTTGGACAATTTGAATTAGGACAATATGAGACAATAGAGACAAAGATTTACAGACGTCCGGGTACCTTTTTCTGGGCAGCACAAGCCCGAAAGAGGACACCCGTTAACAAAGGATTAACCCTTAAAAGCAATAGTCTGTTGCATATTCATATACTTCATACATGATGCATAAATTCCATTCAAATACAGGATTCTGTCTAGTCACCATCAACTTCTTCCTCGAAATCCTAACAGCACCTTCGAGGAGGGAAGAAGTTCGTTTCTTCTGATAAGAGGGCAATAAATTCTTTTTCTCTGAAAGATTCAGGTGTCTTGTGGCTGCTATCTTGCTGCAAGTCCTTTCTTTTAAAACAAGTATCTTACATAGCATAGTTTCTATTTCAAGATTTTGTTATAACCTAAAACCATATTTAACACACTATTTAAGAGAATTAATACAGCATTACTTTCTAACACAACACATACAATATCCATTTTAATATTTGCAAAAAGCCAATCATAAAATACGCATTTTTCACACGGGGCTCTGCATCTGCTCTCACAGGCATCAATGCAATGGCTTCTGTGGCTCTGAACCTGTAAAAAAGACAAAAAAGTAAAAAAGACAAAAAAATATACACAAGACAGATGCTGTTTAAACAAAGAAAAATACCTAAACACACACACACACAAATCCTAAAGAACACAAATAGTAGTCTTTATGATTTGTGAAAAGATGCTCTAAACCAGTTTATGCTGGCGTACAAACCGAATGTAATCTCAAGGCCCAATGTGTGGAAGGAAAATCAGTGCACACCCACCAAACCATCTGCAAGGCTCTGCCTCAACAGGAAGATTTCAGCCTCCGGAGATGTCAATTAAAAGTTCACACTGGATCAATCCATATTAATCATAACAGCCCAGAGTCCATCCTGCAAGCAGAAGGACCAAAAATATTACTTGGACTGGCACAGGATCATAAGACATTTGGGTAGGAGCACAGAACAGCAGCGTTTCTGTGCTCACAGCTATTCTGTGCCATGTAAGAACACGCACTGGAACAGATCGTCCATGGAGAGCATGGAGTCTTCCCTCATTGGAGCCATTCCAGCACCGTCTGGACACAGCCCGGAGTCTGTGTTCCGGGATGGCCCTGCCTGAGGGTGCCCTGAGCCGAGGCTGGGCCGGAGAACCCCTGTGCTCCAACCTGACCCATTCTGTGACCCTGTGAACTGTGTAACCACTGTGGGCACGCACCTCATCGCTGCTGCCAATATTCAGAAAATAACACCTCAGCTCCTGTCACTGCCCAAACACGTTCAGGCTTCTCTAGAGAGGAAAGCCGGAGGCGAGGGTCCCCAGTCACCTCTGCCTTGGCTAGGGGGAAGTTTCGTTTAAATGCGCTGAGAAGCGCCGAGTGCCGGGCAGGGGGAGCGATAGGAAGGAGCCCCAGCCCTGGCCCCGCCCCCGTCTAGGCCCCGCCCTCTGCCCGGCCCTTGCCCCGCCCCCTGCTCGTTGCCGCGCGCCTTCGCGCCCCCGCGCCCCCCTCTCGCCGCCGCTGCCTCCGCTAAGTCTCGCGAGAGCCGCGCGGTCCGGCGCGCGCGGGCCGCGCCATGTCGGACGCCGTTGGGCGCAGCCGGGGCCCCGCCCCGCCCGGCGGCCCCAGCGCCCCGCACTGAGCCCGGAAGCGCTTCCCGGCCGCGCTCTGCCCCGGGACCCGCTCCCTGCTCCCGCCGCCGCTCCCCGCGCCCGCCCGCCCGCCGGGCCACGCGCCTCTGCCTCTCCCCTTCCTCAGCAGGAGCGGGGGGGCCCCCGCAGCGCGGCCCGGGGCAGAGCCGGGGGGCGGGAATGCAGCCGCCGGAGCCGCAGCCGCAGCCGGAGCCGAGCCCCCAGCGCAGCACGGTGAGGGGGGGCGGTGGTGAGGGAGGGCTGTGGGGGTGAATCGGGGGGCGGGCAGGGCCGCCCCGCTGCCGGGGGTCACTGAGGGAGGCTCGGTGACACCCCCGCTCCCCCATCCCGGCGGGCTGTGGGTGTCCCCCTGGCCGTGCGGGAGCGGCTGCAGCCGTGCCGGGGGAGCGGACGGGCTGCCCCGGGGAGCGGGGCTCTCCTGCCCTGCGTGGGCCCGGGTGTGGTGACGGGAGGCGGCTCGTGTTGATCCTGGCTCCTGTTTTGCTGCCGCACTCCCACGCAGCGAGCAGGGAAAACTTTGGTCTTTGTTTTTGGAGCCCTTTGCGGAGCGAGGCGGGCGGAGTGCCCGGGGATCCCGGGCGGGTGTCCCCTGAGCAAGGGCTGTGCTGCCTGCTGGGCCACTGATGCTGCTCTTGCTGGGTAGAAATAAATTAATTAATAAAAAGCAAATGGATTCACAGGTAAACGCTGCCAGTGCCCCTTGGACGTGACTGCAGCGCGATGCTGCTGCTGCTGCTGTGCCTTGGCTCTAGAAATAGAAGGCCCCCGAAGGTAGCAAGGCCTTCCTTGGCTGCGCTCTGTCCAGAGTCTTGGCTTCAGGTCGGGTTTGAGATCTTATCGGCTGCTTGTATTGGCTGTGAGGAAAATTAACTCGAGTTTCGTTTTAGTTGGTTTTTTAAATGTAAGTGGATATGGTGGATGGATGCAGCTCTTATTTATACTGTTCTGTGTTAGTGTAGGACTGTGCAGTCGCTGTGCTTTTCCCCTTGTTCAAACATAACTTGTAACATGATATTGGCCCTTGTTTCCCTGGCTTTGGCAAGGAGAAAACAAGGAGAGAAAAGACAATTGCTTAGGTGGTTTGGGAGTATCTACACTTCAGGTTTTGGTAGAGATTCTCTGTGTCCAAAAAAATGGGATGGCTTAGATATGCCACACTTGGAAAGTAATGAAAAACTTAAAGTAAGACCCTGTGTTCAGATGAACATGCATGAAGCTGTTATGGAAGGTCTCAGTGCTAGCAGGTTTGAAGACACTATTCTTCAATTCTAAATAAATCTTGAGAGTGGTCAGGTTAACCTATCCAGCTGATGTGTCAATATGTGTTTGTTATTTTTAGTGCTGGTGTTTACTGTGACAAAATTGAGTAGTATTTCTTTATGGGTTTATGTTCTCTAGCAGGTCCACCTGATCATAAGATTTCCAGATAACTTAGTATAACAGAACTCTTAAAAGTTACAGGTAAAGCTTGCATGGTCCAAGGCCAATCACTGTTCTGGTAACTTTAATTTAGTTTTCTAGCTCTTCATGAAAAAGCAATTCTTTCTTCTGCCCCTTCTTAAGTATATTTGCAGTTAACATATTTCATGTAAAAAGAAGAAATGTTAAATTCATTTCCTCTTTGTAGAGAGAGAGGAACAGGATTCTTAAAAATAAAGTATTTCACAACATTTGTTAAAGCTTGCACTTTGTCCTGCCTTATGAATGGTGTCTGTTGACAGCAGCAATCTGAGGAGTGCCTTAACAACCTGTATTAATGTGTATATAGACTGTCTTTGTTTGTCCATAAAATTACCAACACAGCAAATTTTGCACGCATTAATAAAGAATATTAAAATCAGCATTTAAGCCTGCCTTTAATCTTGAATCTTTTGCTTTAAGCACAGGTAGCCAGCTGAGTATGATGTATTCTTATTATGAAATTGTACTCTTATTATGAAATTATTCTTTTATTATGTTTTTTTTTTTTTTTTATCTTGTGTCATAACCTTTACATATAATGATGTCGGGTAAATGTAATGAAGGAATTGTGAAATCTGAGTCCACTCTTGTTTCCTGAATCTCATTGAGGCTCCTTTTTCTTTCCATGACCTTTCATCTTGAGGAAGACTGGATGAGTTGAATAGGTATTGTGAAAACACATCTGACTTTCAGGCAGCTTTGGTGATGTCTGTGCTGGTGTCTCTGTTGAGTTACAGAGTAAAATAAAATTCTAATGGAAAAAGACTCCTTTGGAGTCATCCAGGAGAGTGCATTGATGTGATTCTTTGGGTTATCTGGCAAACTCTCCTCTGTTCCCTCTCAGGAATTATGTAGGGCTTAAATGAAGGTTTTGGTTGTGCTGGTCTAGAGGCTTTCTCCTGATTTCAAACCTGTGATGATTCATTTTGTTTGTATTTGTATACAGCATAAGTATCCTCAAAGTATGACCTGCAGAAGCATTCTTGGTTAGGGCAGGAGTTACATGGGTATGTACTGCAGTTCATAACAAATAGGAAACCTAAGATATTTTATTGAATTCTTTTTCAAAGTGCTTTGTCTTCAACTGGGATGATTTTCAAATCCCTGCTTTCACAGCTTCAGTGTTTCAACAAAATCACCAGCACAAGCAAAAGCCTTTGATTTACTTTTTTGACACCAAAGGTATTTTAGTGATGATAGAGTCATTGAGTAAATGATCAAATCTAGTAAATTTTGGGCAACATCAAGTCTGAGTGTGTGCTTAGTCATGCAACTCAAGTGTGCTGTGACACATTCTGCTCTGGGAGATCTGTGATGCTGCTGTTCCTCTGCTCTGAGCTGAGGTAGGTGCACAGTCTGTGTGCTCACACATAAACACAAGGAAAGTGTAACTGAAGGTGTTTGCAGTGGGAGTTATTTTTGTTATGTGGTATGGTTAAAAGGCAGGTGAAAAACAGTGTGAAACTGAGAGGCTTCATACAGAACCTGAAACTTTACCACGAGCACCTTTCGGGCTACTCTGGACTGCCAGATATGTGGTAGAAATATCTGTGACTTGTGGTTTTGCAGTATCTTTTCCTGTGCCTGTCTTTACTCTTAAGAGAAAAATAAAACTGAACTGAAAAATGTTGGTGCTACCTAGTGCAGTGAACTGATATTAGGGATTTACTTTCATACCTCTGGCAAAGTTTTCTCTTATTGTCACTTTTTTTTCCAGGTTGGGACTCTTGGTTTTCTCTATAGTACAAATCTTCTCTAGGCTTATTTCTGTGTGTTCATAGTAGAGTAAAATACTGTCCAAAAGGCAATATTGATTGTCTTGTTTTTGTGAGAGATTGAGAACTGCTTTGCAGAAGTTGCATATGTGGTGATGTCGTGGTACCAGTTCTCACGTGTGACACTCTCTCTGTGAATGGAAAAATGAGTTTTGAAATACTTGTTTAGACTCGTGTGTGCAAATGTTGAAGGTGTTGGTTGAAAGCACTGCTGGAATAGGTTCTCGTAGTCTGCCGAACCTTCAAGTGTCAAAGTTGTCCTTTGAAAGGCTTTCAAACTGGCAGTGTGCTCATAATACTTGAACAAAATGCTCTCTCCAGCTCCAGGCAAGTGGTGCCAGTGTAGGTGGTTCTGTGGTGCTGAATATCCGTGCTGGGTGTCTGTTCTGTGTGGGGAGGGTGGTTGGTCAGCAGTCAGTGCTCTGTCAGTGTTTGTGGCACTGTGGTTTGGTATCCAGGAGACTCACATGCACAACTTCCAGAAAAACATCACTGGGATGTTTTCATTGACTTGAGAAGCTGAAATGCATGTCACAGAATTCAGTATATAATATGGTGAGACAATGCCACAGTATTGCTGATACAGTTCAAGTTGTGCACTGAGTTCTTATTGTTTGGCATTTTTATTGTTCTTTTCTTCTTTTCAAAGATCAGTTGTAACAAATGGATCACAATGTCTGTCTCAGCTTAATATCACTGTGGAAATCACATTTCAATATTCTTACACCCCATTGATTACTGTGTTGAATGTTTCTCCCTTTTCAGGTATTGTTTTAAAATAGTCAGCATAGCACTAGAGAGTAAAGATGAAAAATGCCATCTCTGTTGAGGTTATATACAGTTTTGTGTTTTTAAGAAACATTAGTTCTTCAGTTTCTGCTGGGCTTTATTTTATTGAGGGCCTGAATTCAAAGTAGTGGTATTTTAAAAGCATTGAATTACCAGGTTTTGTCCTAATCTGGCTCTTTTGTAAGGAAAATCACTGCTCTTTTCAGAGAGTAAGCAAATAGCAAAGGGAGGGAAAGGAGGAGGTCGTTGTGCTGTGGTAGTGCTGAGCAGCCTCCCTGTCACTGCTCAGGTACAGATGTTTTCCTACCTGCATGTGGGCTGGCTGGTGGATCATTGAGTGTTCTCTGGAAAACACCCTTCAGCAGATTCTGTTCAATCAGTCTTGTTCCACACTCAAAATGAAATACTTTCTTTCAAATGAAATTGCATGTCTGCTAAAGTGTACATTAATTTGAAAAGTGGATCAATTTATGTGAAATCATGGTTGATCTAGGGGCAAATGGAGAGTTTTTAGAAAAAGAAATCCTGTTACTATCAGTATTTGTCTTGGATGTTGTGGTAGGGAGAAAACTTGAACAATTTAATAAACTGCATTCAGTATTGACTGTTTCTTACCAGATTTGGTAAAAAACCACAGCAGTGCTGGTATTTTAATCTTGCAGCTTTATGCTTCAGCATTTTTCTAGTCCTTGGTTGTATTCTGAGGTGATTTGCCCCAGGTCAG